TTGACTGTATCGTATTGTACTGTAACTGATAAGTTTACTAAAATACCCTCAATTGTTTAAATAAATTTATCAAAAATTATGTATAAAAATAATCTTAAAAAATAAAACAGAAGAAGGCAAAACATTTTAAGAAAGCAGAACAAAGGAGCAAGACAGAAGAAGGCAAAACAAAGGAACACAACTAATTAGAATTGAGTTAAAAGCAAATTAGGAGAAAAAATAAAACAGACGGCGGCAAAACACCTCTAACGTTGGCGGCAGAAGTTCTAGAAAAAAACAAAGTAGGTTATAGGTTGGAGATTTGGATTTAAAATAGAAAAAAAAAAAGATAAAAGGGGTAAAATAGAATTCTGGAGTAATAAGTAAGGGCATAATTGGAAAAAAAATAGGAAACAATCCCACCACACCAAATCGGTTATTTCAAAAAAAGGGACTTTTGATTGTTCCGAAATAATGAATTTAACAATACAATACAATCAATTTTAATAAAATAACCAAAACAAATATTATTTTGAGATAACAATACAATATGCCACAGTCGAAACAACCATGGGACAGTTTATGTCCATAACGTGGAGTCCAAAACAAGGCAAGTCCAAGATCCAAAAGGAACCACCTTGTCGACCCGAATACAATAGCTGTATTCGTTTGAGATCTCCATCTTCCTCTTATACATTCAAGATTCACTGGTGTCGTTCCAAAACTCCAGTTCCGAGAGCTGATCATGCCCAATTCATCGTCTTTACTGCTACTTTTATCCAGCAATCTCTTTCTCCAATCAACCCTTGCTCTCTCCCTCAGTCTATTACTCCACTTCATTAAGATCCCCGCACTTTTCCTCTCAGGCCTTTTCACATACGTCCACCCAGATGATGTTACCCCCACGAACCCAAATGGTGTTCGGGCAGCCATTCGTAGGCCAGGTAGTACGAATGATAATTCTGAACTTAAACCCAGAAAAAAATCCAAGGAAAGATTTGAGTTTGATGAAAATAAAGCTCAGATTTTTAGGTTAAAGCTTAATGACAGTCATCTTCATACAAGGATATATTTCAATGATTTTTGTGGGGCTTTTAATTCTGTTATTGTTTCTTGTTCTTGCTTGTTGCTTCATCAATTCTTGGCGAAATCTGAGGAATCTGGTGTGTTAAAGAACGGTTCTTTCATTCCCATTTTGTTAGGATTTTTGGGTGTTTGTAGGGTTTTTGTTTTGATCTTTAGGATTTCTTTTGAAAAATCTGCATCTAAGCTGTCTGAGAAGCACTTGAGTGTTGTTTTGGGCTTTTTGGGTTTTATTGTGGCGCTTGCATTTGTACATGGGGCAGTTCCTAAATGGAGTTTTGATGTTCATTTTGAAACAATCCATGGGTTTGAGAAGTTGTTTATTGCAGTTTTAATGGGCTGCATTTCTTGGTTTTTGTATATGCCAGCTGTGAGGATTGCTCATGCCTTTTGGCTCGGGACTGATCAGCTACGCTGCAATTTATCCATTATTTCTTGTGGATGGTTTGCTCGATTGCTTCTTCATGCTAACTATTTGTCCATGGTTTTGACCTCATTGCTTTGGGTGAAACCCTTTGCTGACCTACTTATTGATCAAAATGCAAGAGTTGGACATGTTAGGGATTTGGTTGGAAATGTGGGTATGAAACCGTCAGAATTCAGTAGCTTTAGGCGCTGGTGTTTGTTGGTTTCGAGCCTTTTGCAGATTGTATCTCTGCGATCAAATGTGCAGATGTACTTGAACGAAGCAGTTTTGTGCTGGTACCAGAGACTGCACGCGAGCAAAGTTCCTGACTTGGGTTATAGTAGGGCCAAGGTGTTCCTGCACAATCACTTTGTGTGCTTAGTGGTTCTGCAATTTTTTGTGCCTGCATCGATGGTATTTCTCTTCGTTGGCTTGTCTCAAGTTGGTGGCGACTTGATTACAGATTTCCAAGGGATATGTAGCTTATTGCCTTGCTCACTGCTGGACAAAGAGGTGGCATTGTTTCTGGCCTGGTGGGTTCTCTTTGTTTGGACCATTTATACTTCAGCAACTCTTGCTCTATTTAGACAGGGAATCTTATATGTCTCTTGATCTTTTGTTTACTCGGCTCACATTAGGCAGCCAAGTTTTCTGATTTTATGAGCGCTTACACATGAGTGTCACAGTGTAACAATACCCCTCAACTGTTCTTTTTTTCATAGTTTTTCCCCGAAATATAAACTTCCACTTTTGAGGTGCAATTTTGTGTTAGACTTCTGAAATTTTTATAGAGTATAATTTAATTTTCTCCCTTTTTCGGCCTTAAGATGTTTGAAAAGAGCACATTTTGTGATTTTACCACTAGATTGCATTAGCTATTTGAAGATAGTTATGAATCTAGCACTAATTACTTGGAAGTGGTGTGTTTGGTTTCAAACCAATAGATGCTATTCCTTGCTCTCAGTTCAAGGCGCAATAACTCACTTTGAAAGATGAAACAAATTGCTAAAATGATCAAATATAAGATCCTTTGATGTAACAGTGCATGATATTTGAGCCAGAACTTGTGACCTTGACTTAACATGTTCATGCTTTATGTGCTTGTACTTTTAGTTCTAGGTTAATCAATAAGAATGTCCAGCGTAATCAAAGACAGTTAGCCAATAATTCATACTCTGCAGAGCACGATTCATTTGTATCTTGTACAGAATGCAAAGCATTCTTATGTGTGTATGTATAGTTGTGATCAGTTATCTCATGCAAATATTCAAAAACAGTTTGCGTTGCCTGTCTAACTTGGCAGTAAAATATCTTTGCAAGGAACATTGATTTTTGTAAATATAAAACATATCTTCTGGAGAAGGAAAATAATTAATTGAATCTGGCTTTGTTTTGTGGGATAGTGGCAATCACTTAGCTTATGAGGAACTAAATTATTCCTTATTTAACAATTAAGTTGTTTCGTCAAACATCAGATGAAGTTGCTGCCATTACTCAAGTGATCTTTTGAATATTGCATATGACTTTTGTAAATGAATAGCTAGCTCCCTATAATCTACTGCAATTAAAAGATGCACAATGATACAGCTAATAAAATAAAAAAGATGCACAGCGTTATGAAGTTAAAAATCAACAAAAAGTAGTGTTCTTACTTCATGGATGCTTCTTGTGGTATGACAAGAGTGAAGTTAATACCTTTACATAATCTTGATATTGGACAGTTGAGGTCTGTTTTACTGATGATTATAACTCTAAAAAATTTCAAATTTAGAAATATTCTTCTATCTATTAGAAGTAGAATTTGTTTCAAGAAGTTGTACGAAGGAGCAGATGTGGTATGGTTATATATTGTTTTTGGTAAATCAAGTATGTTGTGTGCAATATTATAAGAGATGAGCGATAAATACCACCTTAATGATTATCAAAAAAATTGTTAGATATTGCTTAACAGAAGTTATTGCTGGCACTGAAAGAGCAAGGAAAGAGTTGGCAAGTCTCATTCCCGTTATCAATTTTAGTTTTAGAATGCTAACTTAATCTACTACAAATGAAGTTCATTATTTTGAGCCAAAGACAGTGTATCAGGACCGCATTAGGTTCAGCTTGCTCACCTTACTTATTCCACTAGCTTTATGTGAAGCTGTGAGCACACTGCATTCTTGAATTTTATGTAGTCTGGTCATAGTTTGTTTGTTAGCAGCACTACTGGTTTGCTGGCTATGCAAGCACCTGAAGCTAGAACAGACATCCATCTTTCTTCACTTGCTATGAGATCAAGCCTTGCCTAGCTACATTTTAAATTTATGCTTCACAATAAATATGATTTCTCTATTATGTTGATTGTCTAGTTGTGTTATTGTTGGCATAGTGATTCACTAGATTATCTCTGTCCTAATTTTCTTGCCGTAGGTCACTGAGGCTATCAGAAGATAGATAAATAGGAGCTTCATGTTCATAACTAATGGGACAGAAAAATGAATATTTAGATATTACTTTTAACAGTTAATAAAATGCCAGGAAGTTGCATGCCATCTATGCTAAAAAATGGGTTTGCCTAATACTTAAAACATGCTGTGGTCATTCCCTGTTTCTTATTCCAATTTTACCCTTAAGTACTATGGAGATATTAGCTTGCTCAATTTTAATGACATGCCATTTGACTCTTTTCCTTTTACTTTTTATTAGTTGCTTAGTTATTGCTGGAAAGTCCATTGAGATATGTAATTATCGGGCTTGTGGTTAGAATCTGTTGATTCAGTTACTAGTTTGATGTTAAGTATACATTGGTGAATAGGAGCTATTTCGATTCTTGCGGATCTTAATTGTGGTAAAAGAGGAACTTAGAACAGTATATGGAAATATTGAAGCACCATGTCCTTTTATGGAATGAAGCGCAGAGAAAATTAGAAATGAGAGGGAGATGGAATGCGTCTTGGTAGCACTTGCCTGTAAAGAAACAGAGAAAATAACAATGTCCCACCTTTTAGGTAAACGTGTAAAGTTGATTCTTTATCTGTCATTATCTTATTGTAAACTCACAATGGATAAGCTGTGCGAATTCTGGCTTCATTCTGTGATCCAGACCTAAGATGGATGGCTATGAATTTAGACATTGTCGGACACAAATGAACGTAAATGTCGAGGGGACCAGGATCAATATCTGGCTAGGGAAGATACTTTTTTTTGTGTGGCATAGAATACACATATATCTAGGTTGTGGCCCTTGCTATATTTTTATGTATATCTTTGTCATATCATCCGGACAAAATGTAATCCTCCCTTCATTTTGGTGGAAGATAAGAGAACATTACACAATTTTCAATTTTAAAGGTACTTTTGTAATCCATTAGAAATAGAATTAGTTTGCAAGAAGTTGAAAGAAGGGGCAGATTGAGTATGATTCTATGTTGTCTTTTGCTAATTCGAGTATGTTCCGTGCAACATTGGCCTCCACATAAATATCATATTAATGTTTCTTACTCATTAGAATTGCTTAATTATCAACAACAAAAAAAATCATTAGTTATTGCTTAATGCTAGCTATTACTGGCACTCCAAGATGTTTTCAGTGCAGCACTGCAGCTTAAGAACAAGGATAAAAATATGGATAGTCTCATTTCTGTTATCAATTTATTTCTAAAGTCTACATTAATCTATCAAATGAAGGTAGCAAGGTTCAAATTTCAGCTATGACAATGTAGCAGGAAAGCATCAGGTTCAGTCTGGTCTTGTTACTTACTCCACTAGCTTTGTAGGAAGCCGAGACCACACTATATTTCTTGTAATTTTGATGACTTCTGCTGTTATCCATATATTTTGTTACGTATTTAAATACCTGCGAGCTCATGTTACTATATTCCACTAGCTTTAAATGAAGCTGTGACCACACTTTATTTCTTGAACTTTAGATCATTTCTGCTGCTGTCCATATGCTTCTGTTGTTAACAGTCCATGTGTTTTGGTTTTGCTAGCTATGCAAGAACTTACTGCTATAGTAGATAACCATCCTGATTCAGTTGCTATAACTAGCTATAGTTCTGGTTAATCTTTTGCTAGTGATGCAATCCATATCTTAAGTGTCTAGTTCTGTTGCAAACTAATTAACTAGATTATCTCCGTCATCATTTATTTGCCTTTCATGTGCATTACCGATCCGAGAGAACAATAAATTAACAAGCATGATTTTGATAGTTTGTGGATATATTGATATCTAAAAGCCATGTTGTCTTTGTTCAGAAATTATCTTCCATAACTGTTTGCTGTGGTTATCCCCTGCTCTCTTCCCCTTTTAGTATTATGGAAATTTTTAGATTCTTCAATATGGAGGAATAGATTAGAATGGAAATAGTGAATTCGCATATTTGATGCCTGACTAGTTTGGAATTAAAGCTTAGTTGATTGAGTGATTTAATAATTACTCCAATAATCCATTGAGAATGTTTTCATATCTGGTCCGTTCAGTCGCTAGTTTGATGTTAAAGTATGAGTTGGTAACTTGGAATTATTTGGATTCTCGTGAATATAAAGAAGAGGGAAATAGCACATGATATGTAGGAAAATATTGTATCACGACATCCCTTTCTGAAATAAAGAGCAACGAAAAATAGAAAGGGGAGAGACAAAAGAGATGGAATGTTTTGCTTTCTTACAAAGAAAAAGAGAGCCTGTCAACATCCGTGAGTACATGGAAGTTCTTTTTCTTTTCGCAAATCCACATTGGATAAGCTGAGCAAATTTTGGCTAGAATGTGTAATCCATATCTGTATATGAATGGCTGTGAATTGAACTCGCGTCTAGCATATTTTGAACATAAACTCAAGAGGTTCCAAGATCAATGTCTGGCTACGGAAGATCTTTTTTTTTTCTTTTTTTCCTGGCTCTCTACAATACACAAATTTTCTAGGTCGTGTCCCTTTCTGTGTTTGTATTTATTATCTTATGCATCATCAAGATAATATGAGACCCTCCCTTCACTGATGGATAATAAGAAATCACTCCACAATGGAAGAGAGTAACAAAACTAACGAAAGAAAACATTTTCTCGAATTCTTTTACTCCTTCCGTCTATTTTAATTGATTTTTTGGTATTCTTTTGTGATCCACAATACTTGATTTTTCAGATATCAAAAAGAAATTAACTTCTTTTTTTCAAAGTCACCCTTGGAGTAAAGAACCTAAAAGTATTTGTTATATTTCCAATGAATAAATTAAGGTTACTATGGTCAATTTTGTTGTTAATTAATACTACGGCGAATTTCTTAATATATGTAAAAACAGCTAAAAAATCAATTAAAGTGGACCAGATCTTTGAACTAGGGGTATACAAAAAAAATCGATACATCACATCAAACCGATAATCCTAGTCAAATCGGAAAAAAAAAACCCCCCCATTGTGGTTTGGTTTGATTTGATTTGGTATTGGGGAAAAAACGACCATAATTAGTTTGGTTTGGTTTTAACTAAAAAGTCAAAACCGAAACCAAACCAGCCCGATAGTACATTTAAACAATTTTTAAAAATATTTTATAACTATAACTATTTATTGTAACGTAATTTATAAATATTTCTTAAACTTTTTCACATTTATATCTTTTAACGTATTATTTCAAGTT